ACATTTTTTAAAAAAAAATCCTCAATGAATGGGTTTGATAGCACAGTAGAGAGGACAGGGAAAAGAATTGGATGGGTCTTAAGGGAATTGAGCTGAAAACGCCCCTCAGCAAAGGTCATGTACTATATGATTCCACTTAGGTAACAGTCTTCAAATGACAAAATGTTCGTCACGAAGGGATTCCTGGTTGCCAGGGGCCTAGGACGGGAGAGGCAGTGAGAGAAGCCAAAGTGGCTCTAGAAGGTGACAGTAGGAGTCCTTCTGGTGTTGAGATTGTTCTGCGTCTTGATTGTGTCCGTGTCAGTTTCCTGCTTCTGGCATCCTTCTAGAGTTCTGTAATATGCTGCCACTGGGGAAGCTGAATGCCATGGTACACGGACTCTCCGCTATTTCCCACCACTGCCTGTGAGTCTACACTTATCTCCAAATTAAAACTTATTTTTTAAAAAGTCAAGATTTTTACAGACTGCTCAGTGAGTCTACACTGCACGTAAAACAAATCTCAATACGTCTAAAGCTCGTGATTTATCAGAAGTAGGATTTGAATGAAACATCAAGTTACCTAGTAAAGATGTGAGAATTTCGTTAGAGGATAGCGACAGCAGATCTCAGTTTAACTAGTTCAGTTACAGATCTCCTCATCCCTTTTGTAAGTGGCACTTGGGGCCAGCACGCTTCATTGAGGGCGGAATTGAACGGCTGCTTTGTCACCTTTCTGGGGACGGGGGGCGGGGAGCAGCTTCGGAGAGTGGAAGGTGACTGTTGCAGGCTAGAGTTTGACAGCGGAGGTCAGGCCCGGTTCAGGTGTGGCCAGTTTCCCAAAGACCAGGCTTATGTTTTGATGCCTAGTTACGATTTGTATTCGCCTGCCCTGGGCCTCTGCCTCTGGCCAGCCGGTGACCACCAAGCTGTGTAGAATCCAGTTGTTAAGATGCCCACAGCAAGAGGAATGATCTCCTGAGCCAACAGGTCACTCTTCCAAAGCAGGGTTAGAGACCTCTTCTTTTTCACTCATTTTGTAGTGATCTGATAGCCACAGCAAAATTATTTTAAATATAGGCTTCGCGCCCGAAATAGAAAACAATGGTGTTTTTACCTCAATATCACAGTCTTTTCTTGAAAAGAAGCCTCTTAGAGGCATAAGTTCAAAACAAGTCACTTAGAAAACGCTGATACTTATTTGATTTAATATTGTCTTATGTGGCTGATCAAACAGATCATAAACTTTGGGTTCGGAGCACTTTGCCTTGAGCCCCGGCCCTTTAATTGATGAGCTGCCCAACAAGTTATTATTTAACCTTCTCGGGCCTCAGTGTCCTCATCTGCGTAGTGGGTGTTACAGCAGAGGCTTAAGGTATTACATCGGGTGGCCTGTGAATGCTCATTTAGCTCGACACTCTCAGCCTCCACAAATGTGTATGGTATGTACCAAGCGGTCCTGGAGGAGCAGAGCCCCTAATTGCTGAACAGCCCTCTCCTTCCCCAGTCACGGTGTGGGCACCCGTTCTGTGCGAGGGGCTGGGCCGCACCGAGTTCCTCCTGGGGGAAAGGGACACCAGAACCTACAGCTGAGGTCGGATGGTGGTGAGGCTTGAAACAGATGCGTAAAGGACACGGGGTGAGGCAAGTAAGGGCAGAGCAGGAGTTCTGGAAGCCGTGAGGGCCTTGGTCTGCCTCCTTCAGAAGGGGAACAGGTTCAGGGGTCAGGGGGGTGTAATAGGGGTACAAACAGGGGCCCTGAAACAGCCAGCTGGGGTTTGGATTCCCACTCTGCTTTTGCTGGCTCTGTGACATTTGGGGAGTTACTGCAGCTCCTGCTGCCTCGGCTCCCTCACCTGTCACATGGGGATAACAGTACCTCCTTCCTGGTGGCTGGGAGGGCTGGGAGAGTTGAGATGACATGTGTGAAGCATCTAGCACAGCACCTGCAACACAGCCGCGTGCCGGTATTTGTGCTGCCGCCACTGGCTGCATTTGGGAACTTCCTGACATCCTTCCATGCTGTTGGAGGCTTAGTGGTGTCAGCTCTTACCTTATAGAGAGTTAAGACAGGAGCCAGGCAGAGTGAGAGTGCAACAATTGTTCAGAGCTGGCTTGGAGGGCCTGGCATAGGGGTGAGGCCACAGTGGGTCCCGAGGGGCAAAGAAGAGCACACCAACCCCCTTACCAAGAGCGCGTGGTCAGCGGTGCACCCTAAAGGATGGCTTGAAGGGAACCTGAAAGCAGAGGGAGAGAGCTTTAACCCCCATGCAAACTTTTATACAAATTGAAATCTTGGTGCTTGTGTGGGGAGAAGTTCACTGTTCTCTTCTGCTACTTCTCATGGTACATGTGGAACCCTCCTGATGCCTGATGTGTGGGTTTTCCCCCATCCCAGCCAGGTCTGCAACACCGGCTGGGTGTCCTCCAATTCAGTTCAGTTCAGTTCTGACGCTGACTGGAGTTAGTACAGACCCCACAGGGGAAGGCCTCCGTCCCACGAGACTGTCCCTCACTTCGGACACCAAACAAAAGTAGTGGGCCCCCGGGTTCCCCATGACTTCTGTCCAGCCTGGCTCTAAACTGGGGGTTCCCAGGACCCCCTCCTTGATTTTGCTAATTTCTAGAACAGCTCACAGAAATCAGGGAAATGTTTACCCCCTTTATTAAAGGACATGACAAAGGAGATAGATGAACAGCCAGATGAAGAGATACATACGGCAGGTGCTGGGAGGGTCCCGGGCGCAGGCGCTTCTGGCACTGTGGACTTGGGGCACACCACTCTCCCAGGACATGAATGTGTTCAGTGCAGAAGCTCTCTGCACCCCCATGCTATTGGGATTTTATGGAGACCTCATCACATGGGCATAATCCATTACCTCATTCTCCGGGCCCTCTCCCTTCTGCAGGGTGAGGGGTGTGGAGCCGAAAGTTCGAAGCTTCTAATCGTGGCTTGCTCTTTCTGGTGGGAAGCTCCCATCCTAAGCCACGTAGAGTTGTCTCATTACCAGATTACTTAACTGGGTCTTGGTTTTCTCATCAGAAAATGCGGCCAATGATTGTTTTTATCTCACAAGGTTGTTTTGAAAATAAAATGAATTAATACATACAAACTACTTAGGAGAATGGCTCTTAAAATCATTCCATGAATATTTTTTTATGATGCAAAGAAGACAGTAAAGGAACTAAAAATTAAATTTCCATCAGCAGAAATGGAAAGAGGGAGATAGGAGTTTGAGAAAGCTTATTTATCTTTTATTTTTTTAAGATTTATTTATTTATTTATTAATGGAAGAGAGAGAGAGAGAGAGAGAGAACGGCAGAGACACAGGCAGAGGGAGAAGCAGGCTCCGTGCAGGGAGCCCGATGTGGAACTCGATCCCAGGACTCCAGGATCACGCCCTGGGCTGAAGGCGGCGCCAAACCACTGAGCCACCCAGGCTGCCCTTATTCATCTTTTAGAATGAGACATGGATAGATACTGTTTAAAGTTGACAAATTGAGAATTAGAGGTGTAATCATGTTTGGAGTTATGGAGGCAATCCTTAGAATCAAAAATTGGTCCAGTTAAACATGGTTGTCACGAGGGAATGAACATGCTCAGAGAGGGGAGACCTTTTTTGAGTTTTTATTGCCATCTATGCTCCATTTTGCGTTGTTTACCCTCATGGGCATGTATTTTCTTGGTTTTGTACTGACTTTCTTGAGGTGTACTTCACATACTTAAAGTATACAATTTGATACACGTTTCAATAAGTACATACCTCTTAATCACCACAATTATGAGGATAAGCATCCATCACTCCCTTCTGCCAAAAATAAATAAATTTATTAAGAAGCCAGGTTTAGGTTCTTCAGTATAGTCTGTATTTAGGAATTTATGGGCTTTAGGTCTCTTTCAGCTACAGTATCACCGCTTAACTCAAAAACCTTTTTTACTTCAGAGGGTATTTTAATGATGATACAGTGATGTTTTTTGACATCTGTGGCCTTGTAGTCATATGATCTTATCTATCCTGAGTAAAACTTAAAAAGCCAATAATCAGAACCTCTGGTGAATTTTTTTCTTTTTTAATGATCTGTTTTCCACAGAACATGTAGTGCTTACATGGGAGGCTTTCGGACTGTGGATTGGGGAACAGAGACATTCAAGTCTGCCTCACTTTCCAAAGGTCCATCCATTCCCTGGGGTGTTCTCTCCAGCCAGAGCTTCCTGAATGCATACACTGCGTGTTCGAGTAGAAGTCACCGGCAAGGGTGTAGGAATAACATGTCTCTGCTTAATAAAGCTTGGCTTCTCCCCTCCTCCCCTCTTTCCCCTGCCCTCCCAGCAGAGCCAGTTGCCTCTTCCCACCTGCAGCTGCCCCTTCCCTGTTGCCGTAGGAGTTAGGGTGAGGGGCAGGTACCTTTCTCTCCATGGGTGGCCATGGCAGGGAGTTTAACTTTGGAGTTCTGAGTAAAAGTTGAAAATAAAATTTCTATAGAGACCAGCTTAAGATTTATGGTTAACTAGGTTTTATGATACTATTAGTGCTAATAGCTGAGCCCTTCCCTTGGTCAAATGTGGGGGCTTTTGTGGTTTTTGGGTTCCCTTTTTGTTTTTGTTTCTGTGGGCTGGTTTGGGAGCAGAACCGCTGTTTTGTATCATTGTTTCTATGGGGAGAATGCATTCAGTATTCCAAACGGACACACAAGTGAACTTTTCAAACACAGCCTGTTCACAATGGCTTATAATGGTACTTGACAGAAGGGGTTTGTGTTTAAAATAATGTAGTTTGTCTCAGCCTAAGGGCAATAACTTTCTCCAAATCAGAGACTTGCCGGAGAATTCCAGGACAAACGTGTTAAGATTGATTCAATAGCGAACAAAACTTGGAGGGCAAACGTGTTAGGATCGATCTGGTTGGTTTAGTTAGAGGATTATTCTGTTCCATCGGGATGGGCTGGTGAGCTTAACAGCCTCTTTCACAGGTCAATAGTCATGTGTCCATGATGATGATATTCTGTATTTTAACTAACAGGTTTTCAGGAGGCCTGATATAAGGGTAAGGATGTGTGGCTTTCGGCACCTGGGCCTCCTACTTGTCGTGTGTCTTTGTGCTTGATCCAACACTTAGTCTATTTAGCGTTCTTTACCTTCTCACTGGGTTTATGAGTCACTCGGATCAACTTGCTCTGCTGTGTCACAGCTTTAAGTGTTCACTAGAAACGCTTTATTTGTTACAGTGTTTTTATGTGCAGTAAAAGCTAGCGTGTGTGAGGGCAGGATGCTCAAGGTGTTGCCAGTGTGCAGTACTGATGTTTGTTGGGTTACATGAATTCTGACCAAATGGAGATTCATGGCAGGGGCTTACATGGCCAGGCCTGCAGAGCCCTCTTTTCACCTCGTTTACCATGTAACTCGTCCTAAAGAATTGAACAACACCAACAAAGTGGTGATCTGCCGTCCAGCTTATCTAAGTCAGATTTCAAGTCACCTCTCTGTTTGCATGCTGAATCTAAGAAGCAGAAGTGCTAGTCTTGAGTATCAGTGTAACAGAATCAGTTCCATTTAGTAGTTCTCAAAATACAGATGTGGCTGTTATAAGTAGTGGACTGTCGCTTATATTTTCCTCATGATTTTCCTTCCTTTATTTCAGAATATTCATAAAGCAAGACAAAGATTGGTAATGTGCATGTGTTTGAACCTGAATATCAGATGTTGAAAATTAACCTATTTTTATTCAATGAAAATATTGTGGATTTTGACAGAATAAGTTAATAACTTGAGTTTAAAATGGTTAATCTTAGTGAAGCCAATGCAGTAGTACAAAAATTAGCAGGTTAAGTCAAATTCTTGTTATCCCAGTTGGTTTATCTTTGTTTAATCTTGTTTTTACTATGTTTCCTTTAGCTCGTGGGAATCATTTTCTTTCACTGATTCACATTGTTAAATATTAGTGTTTGGCTTTCCATTTGCATGTTCTTCAAACCACTGTGTGGTTTTCTGTTGTTTAGTCATTCACTTTTCTGTTTTTAAAATTTGTATCAAAGAATGATTCCATTTTCTTTGTATTCAAAAACATGGAAATTTCAAGAACTCTTGCATTTTATTTATATTTTTAAAAGAGTTTTTATTTATTTGAGAGAGAGAGAGAGATCACGAGCAGGGGGGAAGGGCAGAGGGAGAAGCAGACTCCCCGCTGAGCAGGGAGCCCAATGTGGGGCTCGATCCCAGGACCCTGGGATCATGACCTGAGCCTAGGGCAGACCCTGAACCAACTGAGCCACCAGGCACCTAAAAAAGAAACTGTTGCGTTTTAAAAATTACCCTGCTTTGAAGGGTAGCAGTACCAACTGAACTGGGTGCTAAATTCAATCTGATGATAGAGTGTAACAGTGTATTAAGGAGCTGTTTTACCATATTGACAGAAATGAAAGGTGATAAATAGTAAATTCTTTTAAAGCTTTTCTACTTCTTTGCTGATTGATTGCCTTTTTTTTTTTTTGATTGCCTTTTAAAGAAATACAGTCATGGGAACCAAAGTTCCATGAAGAAAAAATATATCTATGTTAAATTTCAATTATTTGCGGCCCCAGGGAGTTGATTCGACTTTCAAAAGGGGTTATAATCTTGTCTTCAGCATTTATATTCTTTGTACCACCTGCTGAATTGAAAGCCCAGTTTTGAAAGTTTCCAAAACAAACTGATTCTATGAAGAGGTTAAACTAAGCCTAGTATACCTTTAAAGGAATTGGAAAACAAGTAACCTTGTGACCTTTCAGCTGTTTCTCTGAAGCACATTGGTACTTTAATTAGAAATCTTTACTATGGTATTGATTCATAAAGCACAATATTTATTTAGCAATAATTTACAGATTGTACATGTCTGTCTCCAGCATGTAATCTGTGCCTGTGCATGTGTGTGGAAAGTTCATGAATACTAGCGGACTTGAGCCCTGAATAGTAGTTCTTTAGAGTATATGAGCACTTACCGCATTTGAAATACACGTGTCTGAACTGCCTTCGTATTTTGGCTTGGTTTTGCCCTTTCCTCGGTTCTGATGATATGCTTTATGTAGTATGAGCGTGTTACGTGTCTGTTATTTTGTTTCGTTGCCATATGCTATCGTATTGCTTGGTTTTACCAAAGACGGTCCATTCTTTGAAATCCATGATGTCTGTTTGCTTTTCCTTTTTCTGCCCCGACACAAACACAGAATAGATACTCCATGTTAGGCTGAGGATGCTCTAGAGGGCCAGCACACCATTTCCTTAACTGCAAGGGGGAAAATGTTGGGATTTGCAAAGCTGTGAAAGGTGTGTCAACTTTTACATGCTTAGTGTCTCTTTAAAAAAGAACTTCTGTCCTTTCACCTGTCTGTTTGCACGTGTCTCTCTTTCTCCTCTTTGCCGTTTCTTGTCCGTGCACCTGGCTGTGCAGGAGACTCAGGAAGAGCACAATGGCTACCCTTCTGGAGCTGAAGCTGATCAGGTGGCAAGTTCTACGTGTCCATCTGTCTGTAGCTACAGATCGTGTTCTTAGAAGCCATTTCATACTAGATTTCTAGATGATGAGCAGATGCTTTCACCACTACAGTAGTGCCCTCCTGTCCGAGTTTGGTAGATTCCGTTATGACATTATTTGCCAAAATTGGTTTATCCAACGTTTTGTCACCCAGAAATTTAGTTATCCGTGCTGCTTGGTTTTCCCAGACCGGGGTCAGCTGCGAGGTAAGGAGTCTCAATCACAGCAGGACTCCGAACTGCCTTTACAGAGGTTGTGATTATGCTAAGGGCGCTCCTTGAGGGTGTCGACTTTGCTTTATTCACATTTGCATGGTCCGTGCCCAACATAGTTCCCGGTACCTTGTGTGTATTTGTGGAATGAGTCTATATAGTTTGCGTTGATTAATCAGAAGAAAAAAACATGCATCAAGTCTTCTGGAGTGCTTACTCTTTGCTCAGTACCTCAAGGCCCTCTGGAGTCTTTTAAAGCAGCAGAACTTTGTCCAAAGCCTATATAGAATCTCTGTATGTGAAAGCGCCAGAAGAGCAGCTCCAGGGAAACCTGGCCAGCCACCCCCATGCCCAGCTGTGCCTTTGTCTAGCCACCCTCCTTTGGTGACCCTGGAAGCACCTTGAAGAGCCCGATTTGAAAGCCAGTGCTTTTGGCATGCAGCCATTACAGAACAGAAACTGTCTACCCAGCAGCTTCCATTCATGATGCGAAAAGTAGCAGAGAGGCCAGAGCCATCCAGTGGGCTGGGGTCCTTGGGGCCAAATTTGGGGAGTTGGTGGGCCTTCCGCTGGACTTGCAGGGTCACTGAAACAGGGTTTGAATGGGATCACCATAGGGAGTTCCTCAACTGGCCAACACGTGGAGCAGAGATACCAAGACGAACAGGTGTGTTCAGAAGATCAGTTTGCCCACAAAAATATTCCATTCTCTGATTATACTGTACATGGGTTGGATAAATCAAGGGTCAAATCATGTCTTGTGCAACTTAGTAGTTGCAGTCAAAGCTTAATATAGCACAAGTGTGAGTCCCATTTCCTAACACCAGCTTTATTAAGAGAATCTACTGTACTCACAAAATAACGAGCCTTTAAGAACTATTCTTCTCTTGAATTCCTATGCTAAAGCTAAATGTGTTTCCTATACAAAAGAAACCTTTTATGGGAAAATCAGAAGCAGTGGGATCATTTGTTTTGTTCTGATAGTTGCTTTTCCATCGCTTATAAAGCATGTCCTGGATTTAATTCTTATTGAGAGGTTTGTCTCACTTGATCTCACCAGCACATTCATGCCTTATATAAATTCACAGGTATTTCAAGCCAAATTTAACGTGACCATCAGAAGAGAAGAGAGAGAGACATGTTTGATCTTCAGCCTCAATCTTGAGAGCCCTGTACATTCTCAAAATGGTCCCAGTCTCTGGTGTCTCCCTCTGCAACTTTTTAGTCGCTGGTCCAGTGCTGAGGACTTGAAAGTGTTTGATGTGGCTCGCTATAAAGCTTAAAGTGAATCACATTCTCCCCCCTCCGCCCCTCCCCCTGATCCCCTTCCAGGTTCAGCAATTAGAACAGCTTTCATTAGTACATATATTTCAAAATAATCTATCCCAATTTATTTTTAAATATAAGTTAAGGAATTTAGGTCCATATATGATAATATATAGTGATTATAATAAGCTTTAACCATGTAATAGTTGAAGTAACTTTAAACTTAGGTATCAAGTGAACTAACTTTCTGACTTTGTGTTATAAAATTAGTCACTGGTTGGTTCAGGCAAAAGAAAGCAGAACCTCAAATTATGGCTTCTAAGAGTGGTGATATTAGTATTTCGAAAACTAGACATTTAGAAGCATAAATATCGGCTTATGCTTTCTTGATAAAATCAGCTGTATTAAAAATGAATCCATTAACAATTCTCCACTTACCTTTAATGATTCTCTCTGTCCCTAAGAATTGTGACTGAAATGTCTTAAAAACCAATCTGGACCAAAAAAATCAAACTGAATAAAATTGTTCAGAAATAACCGTGAACCCTAATCTTTTTAATCACACATCTTGGCAAAGACGATGGACATTCTTATAGAACAGACATACCCCAACCAACATTTAGCATGGAATTTGTTTTTTATATGTTGACCTTTTTCCTTTCTTTTTTTATAAAATGATAGAACTATGATGTATAAGTGTTTTTTAAATTGACACTTAAGTCCCATTAACAAAACATAGTGAAATATGCTTAGAATTAGGCAAAGAATCAGTTTTGAATTTTCAGCTATTTAGAATTTTAAAAGATGACCATTTTAAGTACTTTGCTTCACAAAATTATGCTGAAAACATAGTATTGTCTGACCTGTTTTCTGCTGAACACTAGTGGCCTCCTGGTGTTTAACTGTGTTTTGGAGAAAGCAGCCCCTGATCAAATAGGTATGGGAAATGCGGCATACTCTAGCGCCCTCTTGCTGATATGGCGTACATTAATATGCTAGCTAACGACTTGCTAGCTAACGACTTGTCGCACTAAAATGTAAAACAAAACAAAACAAAACAAAACAAAAAAACAAAAAAAAACAACCCACCCACTTAGCTTTTCTTTAACCCAGCATTACCCAAACTTGGAAAAAAAAAGACCTATTCACATCTCTTGGGAATCTAATGCCCTACGAAACACAGCTTGGGGATTGCTGGGGGTTTGAACGCCTTATTCTTATTCGTGACACATTATGTCCGAGATGCCAAGGAGAAAGTGACCAGTTTCCTTGGCAGCATCTCACAGGGTGGCAGTAACTTGGAATTGGAATAGGCCCCGAGTTCAGGCTCTGGTCCATAGCTTTGTAGTTCGAACACCATTTTCTCAGCTCTCCTGAGCTAACTGGCACCATCCAACCTAGCTCCCAAGAAACTGGCTAGTGGGTAGCAGGGCCAATCTGGACATTTGACATGTGGGCGTGTGTCTCTGCAGCCATTCAAGACGTCATTTTCCTAGTATCATTGTAGCCAGGAAACCTGATAAGTCATTAGTGGTGTTGGTGAGTGTGGAATCAGCACAGAGTGAATTGGTTTGGGAGAAACCCGGTGAACACACCCTGCTCCACAGTAGTGCTGGACCTACTCCTGTCTGCCAGACGGGAGCGTACTCTCCCATGGCCTGGATGGGATGCGCACTGACAAGCCCACTTGCTACCCGCCCCACCCATCCCTACGCTTTGTGCACACACACAAAGCGTGGGTAGCTGGACTGCAGTACGAAAGCCTAGGGCTTTCCTTAGAAATGTTACTGCTATGAGACCCCTCCCTGGTTGCTTCCACTAGACTTCAGGGTTTCCCACACCGGATAAAGCTTACAGGCTGGGTGATTTCTACAGCTAGCCAAGCACCTACTTCTAACGTTTATTCCATTTGTGTTAGTTTCATGCTCAGAAGGTAACCTTTTTTCTGACCTTATTTCCAAATTCTGGAGGCACCTTATAATAGCTGTCTGTGTAGTGATTACAGTATCTATCTGTCATGTCAAGCCATTTCTGTATTAATGCTTTCTAACTGTGAATTTAAATATGTGTAACAACTTGCTAGAATATGCAGCATGGTGTCCTGTGATGCTGAGCTTTGAAATTGTCTCGTTAAGGGGAGGGGGCATACAGTTTGCACGCTTCTGTAGCCATGTAGCAAGAGCACAGAACACTACAATTCCTCCCAGGTATATAGAAGGAAAGTGAGATTTACTCCTCTTTGGTCTTTTGCCAGGCGCTAAGAGATGGAAATAAGCTGGCACAGATGGAAGAAGCGCCACTTTTTCCAGGAGAATCAATCAAGGCCACTGGTAAGTTTAATGAGTACACTTGGCTTATAGAGAGCCATAAAATGAAATGGTACTTTACTTGCGAGCATGGGTGATGTATGTGCTGGAGATCAGCCAAACCAATTTAATTAGGGGACAAATGGACTAGGTCCATTCATTCTTCTTAATGTCTTCATGACCTTAAGAGAGAGAAGACCATATAAGATCACTGTAAGTTCCAGTTGAGTGTTCGGTGGCATCACCAACAGAAGAGAGGCCTGACTTGTCCTGATGAACCAAAGGCTTGATTAGACACTTAGGGTGATGTAATGCTTAGTTGGAATCCTTTACTTTAAGGGTATATTGACAGAAGATTCATGGCATATTTTAATAACAGTTTTGAGAACTTGGCAAAAAGAATTTCAGTGGCTTATGAGATTCCAGAAAGTACAATTTGAGCACAAGAGAAAGGGCATGTGTTGCCACCCTGCGCGGTAAGGCCAATGGCAGGAGTACTGCTCCCCCATCCTCCCTCTGGACGGCCCTGCATGTCAGCAGGCAGTCCAATGTGCTATGGGCAGACAGGAGGGCAGTGGGGTGTGACCTTTTCATCTCACAATTGCCGGGGTTGGGTCGGACAGTCTAGTTTGCCATCTGAGTGTTGCCGTCTTCCCTCGTGGCTCCCTCTCAAAGATGTGTGCTTGGTTTAAGAGTGTAATCATCTTGTGTCAGGAATGTTTGAGGGGTGCTGGGGTGCTGTAGTTGATTAAGCATCTGACTCTTGGTTTCTGCTTGAGTCATGATCTCAGGGTTGTGAGATTGAGCCCCATATTGGGCCCAATGAGGAATCTGCTTCTCCCTCTCCCTTCATCTCTGCCCCCCTCCCCCCCCTCAAATAAATAAATAAATAAATAAATAAATAAATAAATAAATAAATAAATCTTAAAGAAAAAAGGGAATGTTTGAGTGGCTGGGCTCTCCCAGGACCTCCAAACAATACTGCTGCTGAGTATTCTAGTCTGTGGCTCTGGACCCCACTTATCCCATTGGTAGTTTTGAAACTTGCTTTCTTTCTCTTTCTCTCTTCCACTCTCTCTTTCACTCTTTCACTCTCTTTCTCTCGTTCTTTCTTTCTTTCTCTTTCACTCTTTCTCTTCCTCCCTCCCTCCTCCCCTCCCTCCCTTCTGAGAGAGGCTGGAGGCAGGGGAGGGGCACAGGGAGAGAAGAGAGACTATCAAGCAGGCTCCATGCCCAGTGCAGAGCCCTGCACAGGGCTCAGTCTTCAGGTACCCTGAAACTCTTTCTTTCTTTAGCTTCTGGAACTTCTTTCACTGGTGGTCCTCTGGCCTCTCTGAATGACTATTCCTTCTCTGGGAGTTCTTCTAACCCTGCCTCCATGCTGCTTTTGTAATGATCTGATTAAAATGCAGAGCTCATTATGTCATGCCTCTGCTTCTTCTCCAGACAGCAAGCTACATAGATTTCAGGTGTACAACATGAAGAGTTTTGACAGATTATGCACCTGGGAAACCATCATCATAGTCAAGATAATGAACATATCCATCACCCCCAGAAGTTTCCTTAGGCCCTTTATAATCCTTCCCTCCCACACCTTCTCCCCCATCTTCAAGCACTGTAGGCTAATTTATATTTTCTACAGTGTTATAGAAGTGTAATCATTTAATATTTTCTTTTTTGTCTAGCCTCTTATACTCAGCCTAAGTATTTTCATATCCATATTATGGAATGGGTCAATAGTCATTCCTTTTTACTGCTAAGCAGTACCCTATTATGCTACTACACTACAGTTTGCTTATCCATTCATCTCTTGGTAGATATTTGGGCTGTTCTACGTGTTGGCTATTACACACAAAGCTGCTGTGAACCTTCACGATTAAGTCTTCTATTGCCTCATGTCCTATCATCCCCGCTGCATCCTTTGTCCCAGACACACTAACCTCCAACAACTCTGCTTTCCCCTCCCTCCCTTCTCCCTGTCCCTCCTCACCTCCTTGCTTCCCTGCTGAGCCAAGTGGGTCCTTTTCTGAGCTCTTACTGTGCCCACTGGGTTATGATAGCATTTGTGAGGCTGTCGTACAATGGGGATTTTCTGTGTGGTGCCTCTTATAGGGCTTGGCTCCTTGTGAGTAGGAACTGTGCCCAGTTATCCGTAGAACCCCAACAATAGAAGCTGATCAGTGCATACTGAGCTGTAGAAAAGTTTAATGGAAGTGTTTTGAGAACTTGGCTGAATGACAGCCTTTAATGGTTCCACTCGGACTCCTCTGTAGCTGTATACAATCCTGCTAGTCCAGTGGAGTGGCCGTGAGAGAAGATGGTAAAGATATGCTATCTTTGTGGTAGGTGTGAGCTGCTTCTCACTCACAGGACTCCAGAACGTTGTTGATGGTGATACTAAATAAGTTGATATTAACAATAAGAAAATAAAAACTGATATGGAAACTGAGAAGGAATTTGAAGCAAAGAAGTCATTTTCCATGCCACCGATGCGGTTCTGGCTTTTGTCATTTGTGAAAGAGTTTCCTTTGGAGGTGTATTGGCTTTCGTTAGCGGGAATTGATGAAACCACAGCCCAGGGTCTCCGGAGTTTAATTACTCTGTTTCCAAATATGACAAATTTATCACTCAGGGAAAATGGTAACCACTGGAAAACGATGACAAAATGTAACTTGTTATGGGGCCCTTGACTTAAAACCTCCCTAGGTAGCAAATCAGGATTGTGTTTTACAGAATGGAATTTTCTTAGAAGACTATTTGTATCTTTATTTAATGTGATAAAAAATGTAAACTTCCTAGCAAAGTGGAATCACAGATATGTCTATTTGGAAACCTAAGACTTCTGGAAGCGCAAGTCTGTGGCAAAAGTTGCTACTTGGGGGTTTTTCTTTCAGTGAAAGACGTCATGTACATCTGCCCGTTTGTGGGCGCAGTGACCGGGACCCTGACAGTGACCGACTTCAAGCTGTACTTCAAAAGCGCGGAGCGGGTGAGTTTTTAAGTGGATGTGTCGTCTTTCACAGCCCTGCAGAGCACAACCCACGGTAAGGAGAGAGTACAGAGAGCCCTGAAATCCTGTCACCCTGACAGAGCCACAGGGTGGGGGGGGGGTTCACAGGTGCACATTGGCAGACAGATAAGGCATCTGGGGACAATGCTGTGAATGTCGTGCTTAGAGCTGGGGGTGGGGGTGACTTGAACTGTAGCCTTGGCATCTACCTTATAAAGCATGTTATCAGTCAGACTCCAGTTTCGTTGTTGGGGCCAAGGGGAAATGTGAAGCAAATCTGCATTTTCACCCAGAGAAGACCTCCGGTATGAAAGCTCTGCTGACTGGCACTGATAGGCCTTCATTAATTTGTAAACCCAGGACCCGAATTTCATCCTTGACGTTCCCCTTGGCGTGATCAGCAGAGTTGAGAAGATTGGAGCGCAGAGCCACGGGGACAATTCGTGTGGGATAGAGATCGTGTGCAAGGTACGGTGCGGACACAGGCGAACCTGACGGGGCACTCAGCTAGCAGCTTTTTCTGACACAGTCTTTGGGCAGTGAGGGTCACTGGGACTGTTAGTAACTACAGTGTTTTCAGGACTGAGGCCTCTTCAAATCTTGTAGAAGCTAATTCATACCACTCTGGGAGCTGTGGAGGTAAACCTCTTCTATTGAAGTATTCTAATCAACACAGACCTATAACCTAAATGTTGATGTTATTTGTTACATTTCAGAGAAACCAAGTGAAAAGCAGAGAGGAACACCTTTTTTCCAGTTTGTTGTTTTAAAACTACCCTTTAGAACAGTGGATGGTCAGAGACTTCCTGAAGGGGCAGCGATAGAGTCTATATAGATTCTGTGATTAAAAACACGATGTGGGGATTTTCACCTGCACCGTGCTTATGTTTGGTTTTCTGCTCTCCCTCCAATGGGTTAAGTAGAAATGTGTGTGATGATTTTAATGATGACTAGTCATGTAAGAAACACTTTAACTGATACATCTTATTTCCAAAGACTTTACCTCATGGGGTACGCTTTATTAACAACCCTCCCTAAAGTCCCAGGAAAGAGAGCCTGTGCAGAATTGCCAACGTCTCTTCCATGGTCAGGGTTTGGATACCTGCCGATCTGTCTGTTTTGATCACGTCTCTGAAGACGGCTCCCTCTGGTTGGCCCCAGACTGCAGCTGAACCCATTTGTTTTTTTCAGAGAATCCTTTACTCTTGTAGATCGTGGATCTACTGGCATTTAGACTCCCTGTGGCCACTTCATGGCAGTGCTGTCCTGTGACAAATTACATTTGTCCTTCTCAGGCCAGGGTTCCACATGCTCAGCTGTGTGAAGCAGTTGTCGAACCTAGAGCAGATGGGTGATTCGATGAGCCCTGCATTTTGGGAACATGACATTTCCCTATTAGAACTCTCCAGTAGCTTCCCTTCATCCTCAGGCTAGAGGGAGGACTCACCAAAAGCCTGTGTGTCTGAGCTGCATGATTGCTCTGTGCAGCTTCACTTTCGGCCACCCTCCCCTAATTCTTGCTAGCCCAGTTCCTTTAGCTGTTCTCATTCACCTTGTGTGCTCCCCACCCCTGACTTTGGACTCTTTGCACATGCTTTCCCTTTGCTTGGAATGATTTGCTCTCTCAGCAATCCTAAATAGCAAGTGAGCTCAGTCAGCTACCAGGGTGTGTGTGTGTGTAGCCAGAGTAGCTTGGAGGGTGGGCGAATTGGGAAGTCACGTTGCTTAGGCGAGTGCCCTAGGGCTGTTGAATGAACATGTTTTTATGGCCGAGGTGAGCCTTTGCTAATAGCTGCTTTAAAATGTTTTCCAGCCTAGCATCACTAGGGCCACATTCTCAGCCCTCTCAGCTCATGCCTCAGAGCCTTGCAAGGTGTTAGGTTTGGTTTCTTTTAACAGGTGGTACGCAATTCCCAAGGTGTATAGGGAAGAGCCAGTCTCTCTCCAGCCAACCCCCAGCCACCTTGTTCCACTCCTGTCAGGCACCCACTGCTACTGATTTCCACGCACACCCTGTGTGTACAAGCCTGTCTGTGTGGTCTTTACAAATAGTAGTGGTAGTGTCTTAGGTAGCCCCTTCTGCCCCTTTCTTTTCTCCCTTAACAGTCCGTCTTGGAACTCTTTGGCCTCAACACACGCAGAACTTTCCAGCCTCTGTCAATGGGCATTTCAGGCATTTCCATTTCTTCTCCGTTATATATAATATTGCAGGAGTAACTTTGCCACTTCCCAAATTGCTCTTGCTTTAATCTGCTTGTGGTCATATTTATCTTCAAATTTCCTGTAATGTTAAAGAAGAATGAGACTTTTGTGTTTAACTAATGGCATAGGTGTAAAAAGGTCAGGGAGCCCTGCTCATACGGGTCCTGGGGAGAAATCTGAGCCTCCTCACTGGGCGCGCTCCCACGGGCTCGCACTAGGGCTCTCAGTCAGCAGCATGTGTGGTGGGGCATTTAAGAAACTGATTTTGAGAAATGGCATTATAATTTCTGTAAGGAGTGCACCGAGGGACATAGTCTTTACATGATACAGACTTCTGGCTCTGAGTACACAAAGAAATTTCTGTTTTATTGATGGTGCAAAATCTGCATTTGACTCTTTTGGCAGCTTAAAGCTACTGGCTGATTTTGTGGCACACCTTTTGCAGTAAGTGCACAGGCCCCGATGGCACATCTTCCAGGCACTAACCTTCTTGCTTCCAATCTGATGACTTCTTCCCCCAACATGTCCCCTCCTTTGTTCCAGTTTCCTCAATTGCTGTTATCTTGTTGGAGGTGCTTTTGTTAATTGTCTTTTGTTAGTGGAAACAATCTCTACCATGAGAAATTAATAAAAATATCTCATGTATCTCTTTATAGTATGGTGTCTCCTCGTAGATAATGTTCAATAAATGAGTTTTGCTAATTGTTTAATAGGATATGAGGAACTTGCGACTTGCTTATAAACAGGAAGAACAGAGTAAACTTGGGATATTTGAAAACCTCAACAAACATGCATTTCCTCTTTCCAATGGGCAGGCAAGTACACCAAAATAAATTTTTTTTGTATGCCTTTGTGTGTGTGTGTGGGGGGGTGTCCAAAAAGTCATGTTTAATTATTCCTTTTTTCCAGAGGTTTCCTTTATCTCTTTTCTCTGTTTGTGACTAATATTAGAATATTTAAAATTTGTCAGTTCTGTGTAATGATTAAGGAAAGTGCCAATTTGTTGCTTCAAAATTTACAGATCAAAGTAGAAATCTTAAAATATTTAGCTCACAGCTGAATGAAGACCTTTCATGTTGAGTATATGATAAAGAAATACTGATGTGTTTTTGTGTGTTTTTTGTATCTAGACACTCTTTGCATTCAGCTATAAGGAAAAATTTCCAGTGAATGGATGGAAAGTTTATGATCCTGTATCTGAATATAAGAGACAGGTAAAGTATATTCCTCATCGGACCAAAGATAGTGGGTTGAGCATCTCTTTTTTACCAGGTTAGAAATGTAGTGGAGAATAAACTGTTTGAAACAAGCTGTGCATGCATATGAGTTACCTAGCTTGTAGGCTCTTCGTCTCTGGGATGCTCCATTGGATTCTCTCAATGCCAAACTTTGATTATTCTGCTCTTCATCCTTTTTCCAGAGGGCAATTCGAGTACAAGCACAGAGGTTTAAAAAGCAAATGGGCCAGATGGTTTTTATTAGATATTCTGGTAATGAGTTGATGAGTAAGGATCAAAACCAATGGCTTAAATTAGATTAAGTGTATGGCGTGACTACATCAGTCTGGTATGGTGTTCTGTACCTAGAAAGCCTTCAGCACATTGTCGGTTTCGAGATACTCCGATAAGATGCTATTTTCATGACATTTAATCTTTGTCTCCACTGTGTATTTGGTATGGGGATTTATATTACTTACTGTACATGTTTGCAAAAAGTTTCTGTGTCTCTAAAGAACTTTCATGGGTTTTTCAAAAGCAATACCATGCTCATTCTTTGTATAAAACACAACAAGAAATGTGCAGGATTGGGATTCTAGCATGTAACTTTTACCATTTTAAAATATGTTTGGAAATTCTTCTGCTTCATTAAATTCTTAAAAATGGATAAGACATGGGTTATGTTAGATAAACATATATTTACACTTTAAGTAGCAGTGAATAACAAATTATAAGTGGATTTTAGGAGAAAATAAGAAATGGATTTGGGTCACACTACTTTTTGAAAACATAGAAGTTTGTTCTCTGCCCTTCTCTAACACCCTGCAGGGCTTGCCAAATGAGAGCTGGAAAATATCCAAAGTGAACAGTAACTATGAGCTGTGTGACACCTACCCTGCTGTCATTGTTGTGCCAACTAGTGTAAAGGATGATGACCTTTCCAAAGTGGCAGCCTTTCGAGCCAAAGGCAGAGTCCCGGTAAGTAATAAACATTATCACTTAGGCATAAACACAGACTGTTTTAGATCTAATATGGAAAGAAGCAAGACAGAAAAAACTCTAGCAAACAAAACAGAAAGTGGAAAAATATGCCTAAAGCCCTCTAAAGGCAGTTGAGACTAACAAAGGAGTGGCGAGAAAGAGCACGTTGTTGCATTAACAGCGTACATCGCTGGTTTTGTCGAGTTGTCTGAGAGCAAATTAACTTTCTTAGATGCTGAGTGGAATGCCTACAGCTGCGTGACCCAAATCCATAGAGAAGCCAGCAGGGGATGAAGTGTTTTAAACAGCTTTATTGAGGTGTTAACTGATAGACAAAACCCCTCGCACAGGTGCAGTTTGAGTGAATTTGAACATTCATGTACACCAGTGACACTCTCACCATAATCAGGGAGGGAGTGAACGTTCTGGAGCATAGAGTTTGTGGTCCAGTGTAATTCCGAGTCTCTTGGCCGCCTGAGGAAGATGGGAGGTTTGGGGGCAGAGCTTTACACCTTATAAAGGACTATTTTTTTAAAGATTTTATTTATTTATTCATGAGAGACACAGAGAAGCAGAGACACAGACAGAGAGAAGCAGGCTTCTCACAAGGAGCCTGATGCGGGACTTGATCCTGGGACTCCGGAATCACACCCTGAGCTGAAGGCAGACGCTCAACTGCTGAGCCACCCAGGCATCCCAAAAGACTGTCTTTTACTTTGCCCTCCTGGGGATCCCTGGGTGGCACAGCGGTTTGGCGCCTGCCTTTGGCCCAGGGCGCGATCCTGGAGACCCGGGATCGAATCCCACGTCGGGCTCCTGGTGCATGGAGCCTGCTTCTCCCTCTGCCTGTGTCTCTGCCTCTCTCTCTCTCTCTCTCTCTCTCTCTCTCTCTCTCTCTCTGTGACTATCATAAATAAATTAAAAATTTATAAAAAAAATTACTTTGCCCTCCTGCCACATATGTGATCATTGAGATACAAAGATGTCTTTAAGTCAGGAGACAAAATAAAACTAGTCATTCAGATAGGAGTGGGGCTTGACTTGTTAATCACGGTTTGACTTAGTTTCTGTGTTTCTTAGAGTCACACAATTTGGAGGTGGAAGGGGATTTGGGGATCTTATCTAGTCAGACTTCTTTCAATCTGACCCAGACAGTGGGTTCCAGGGCCACAGATTGGTTTGACTTTTGAGGAAAATATGCAGAAGAGGCTGTGCTTGAAAAGGTAACTTATTTTTACTGCCCAACAGTCAGGGCATATATTGTTTTAGGAATAGTACTAATGTTTGCCGCTTACAAACACTAGGTGTTATCATGGATTCATCCAGAAAGTCAGGCAACAATTATCCGTTGCAGCCAGCCACTTGTGGGTCCCAATGATAAACGCTGTAAAGAAGATGAAAAATACTTGCAGACGATAATGGATGCTAATGCACAGTCTCATAAACTTATCATCTTCGATGCCCGACAAAACAGTGTTGCTGATACCAACAAGGTACGTTGTTAATAACATTGCAGAAACAGTGCCTTTTTTCTCCTGTCATGGCCATAGATTGTTCCACAGTCCAATTAGACTGCGGAGTTCCTCCCCACCTGAAGGTGGGGTGTTTGTGATCAGCCTCTAGCTGTTCCTCGCTGGTATCTGGCATGTGGGGCTCTGTGCACCATCTCTCTTATTGCTTCTCCACGATCCTGTGTGCTTAATTAATTAAGCAAAGACTCAGAAAGAGAATTCTCACCTAAAGAATCAAGTAAGAGTCTTAATGAAATGATTGTGAGGCCCTTGGAAGTCCCTTTAACCTGTAAACTATGACGATTGCTTGATTAATTCCTATCTGGTCTGAAGCTTTCTTTAGAATGGCATCTCTTATGTGAAACCAGGCAAGTATACAAAGTTTCCAGAAATCACATGCAGGAGTGTCATCTGCAGACAGCTCCCATTTGATCCCTAGTAGCTAAAGGGGCTGGGATCCTTCATGCCCAGCCACAGCTAAGAGGCCCTGCCCCTAGCACCTGCTCTCCAGGTAGGAAAAGCTCTGAACTGCGTCATTTCTATTGCCCACGACTGCCTCTCTGTGTTGCTGCAGGTGTGCATCTGGCACTCAGAGGACTTGGCCCTCTCTATGAGTAATTTCAGAGATCAGGAAGATGGTGGCAGCCCTTACCATCTCATCATGCTCACTTGTAAAATGACACTTGGATAACAAACGTGATGCGCCCCTACTAGGGGCAGGTGCTGGGGGGAAATACCAACATAGGTAAGGTGAGGTGCTCTGTTATAGGAAGTGTCAGCTCAGCATGTGGGGGTGAGCACAAGAGAGGGACAGGCTAGCCTTGCTGGTGAATTTGGGTAAGGCTTCACGGAGGAGGTGGCATTTGAACTGGCTTTGGATGGTTAGCAGGAAGAGGCGGGCAGGGGTACCTATGTGACAGTGTGCCAGAGCACATCACTCACAAGAATGGCAAGGAGGAAGACGTCTAAGGGTGTGGTCACCAGCCCCATGCCCAGCCCACCAGACATGGCATTCTCAGTACCTGGGTGCTTGTTGGGTGTCATGGCTTGCGAGGTATTGGGGAGGCTGTCACACGATCTGCCATGTGGCCACCTGGTGTGGCCTGGAGAACATAGAGCAGCTCTGTGGGTGTGAAAGGTGCCTGGTTACTTGCTCCATGATCCTAGGCAGTGACTTCATCTCTCTAGACCACAGTTGCCTCATCTCGAAAGTGAGAGTGACAGGATGTCTACTCCTTGGGGTAGATGTGAAGGAAGGCCATAGGGGACCTTGCACAGGTACCGTCCCAGAGAAGGCATTTGGTTCATGGTAGCTGTCCTTGCTCCTGACCTCAGAGTGAACTGCTCTGTGTGCCGGACCTTCATGACCTCTCACCCTCTGGATCCCTCTCTCTGGCCTGGCCAACTCTGTCTCCTTCGCTGGTTCCTCCCCCTCTCCCTAACCTCCAAATGGCAGTGCTCCTTCAATCTGGCTGGGCTCCTCTTTTGTACTTGGCACCATCTCCCCAGGCCATATCCTCCGACTCCATGAGTCCACATACTCTCTGTATTTGGAACTTGATACCTGAGTTTCCATCTCACCCTGATTCCTCCTTGGGTCAAGACAGAATTTCCATCCTTTTGTCTGGTTGACATCTCTGTTCAGCTATCTCCCTGGTAACAACCTCTACATATCCAACTGGGCCTGAGAGATGGGGCAGTGAGAACCCTGGGCCTCAGAACCATTTTGCCCTGGGCTTTCCTCCAGGGTCTGCCCTTGATGCCCGGCTGCACCCTCAACAAGCCTCAGGTGCCTCTTCCGTAAAATGGGAGGAAAGTGTGCAGCGTCGAGGTGTACCAGGATGACCGCAGCACCGGGCGCTCCTAAGCTCGCTGCCCGAGGAGTCTGGCCCAGGGGTGACTGGGGGGTTCCCATCATGGAGATGATTGGCTTAGGGACAACGTGGGGAAGGACATGCATAGGATAGGAGTTTCCTGAGGCCTTGCACCGATTACCACAAACGAGGTGGCATGAAACAACACAGATTTACCCTCTCACCGTTTGGGAGGCCAAAAGTCTGCCAGCTGCCTGGGCTGTGCTCCCTCTACAGGCTTTGGGGGACGATGTGTTCCTTGCCCCTTCCAGCTCCTGGTGGCTGCTCGGTGTGGAGCCATGGCATGCGGCTGGCCCCCTCTGCCTGCACATGGCTTCTCTCTGTGTCTGCGTGTCCCCTCCTCCCTTCTTGCGAGAGGCGTTTAGGGCTTGCTCAAGATAATCCAGGAAGGTCCCTTCATCTCAAGATCCTTGACTTGATGACCTCTGCAAAGACACTGTTCCCCAAAGTCACATTCACAGTCACAGAGAACCTTTGGGTGTCGATATCTTTGGGTGGGGGAGTGTTTTTCAGCCTGTCACGGGGAGGCCTTCTCTGTTAGTTCCCCACGCTCACATGGCTGGTGGGTCATTAACCCCGTCAGTCTTCGTACTTCTCTAAGGATCTGCTGTCCCCACTGCAGTACTGTCCCAGGCTAGGAAGAAGCACGAGAAAAGCTGTATTCGCAGAAGCGGTCTTCTAAACATCCAGTGGAGCAGAGTCCATCCTCTGTGTGACCTCATGTGGAAGAGACAGAAGCAGGACGCCAAATTGCACGTCTGGAACGATTTTATCTCTCATGGTGTTGTGTCTAGGAGCCAAACAAGAGTTTTTATCTGTCCAAGTCCCTGTTAGCTCTTCTGTATATATTATCGTGTCATCTGCAAGTAGAGATACTTTACTTCTTCCTTTCCAATTTGGATGCCTTTTATTTCTTCTTCTTGCCGAATTTCCTGGCAAGAACCTCTGGTACCATGTTGAATGGAAGTGGTGAAAGTGGTCATCCATGTCTTGTTCCTAATCTTACGGGGAAAGCTTTCAGTTTTTCACCATTGGGTATATTAGCCATGGGGTTTTCATGCATGCCCTTATCAGGTTAAGGAAATCCCTTTCTGTTGTTAATTTTTTTCTGTGGCTTTATCATGAAAAGAGTATTAGACGTTCAAAGGCCTTTTCTGTATCAGTGGAGATGATCGTGTGTCTCTTTTTCCCTTCATTCTATTAATGTAGTGTATTCCACTGACTGATTTTTGTGTATGGACCACTGTAGTAGGTTGATTAGCATCTCCCCAAAATTCATGTCCATCCAGAACCTCAGAATATGGCCTTATTCGGAATTGGGTTTTTGCAGATGGAATTAGTGAAGAGGAGGTCCTACTGGAGTCGAGTGGGCCCTCAATCCGATGGCCGGTGTCCTTAGAAGAGGGCCACGCAGAGAGGGAAAGTGGCAGTGTGGCCATACGCCGAGTAGCACCCACGATCGCCAGCTGCTACCAGAAACCAGGAGCAAGGCACATTCTTCCTCTGAGCCTCCAGTAGGAGCTAAGCCTCCCAGACACATTGGGCTTGGTCTTGTAGCCTCCAGAACTGTGAGGGAGTAAATGTGTGTTATTTTAAACCTTCTAACTGGTGGTTCTGTTACTGCGGCCCTCGGAAACTCCTACCGCCTGCTTACATTGGTGGAATAAATCCCCCATGGTCATGGCGTAGAATCTCTAATACACTGCTGGATTCACTTTGCTAGTATTTTGTAGGGGCTCCCTTCAGTCCAGTGTCTACATCATGGCCGGAGTGACCTTCTCAACATCTTGCTTTGTGTCTTGAAGCAGTGACATCTAGTTCCTGGACAGGGCCTCTGAAGCCCTCCACCCCCAGGCCTTCCTCCCTGTCTCCACAGACCCCAGGTGTGGGATGCTTCTTTCCATTCCTAAAGCATGTTCCCATGGTCATGTCCGAACCTTTGCCTCCTTAGCTGAGCCCTCCCTCATCCTTGGATGATATGCCAAAGGTCACTCCCTCGGGGACATCTTTCCAGATGAGCAGAGGTCTGTGTGATGGTGGCCTGCAAACAGCTGTGGTCCCTTCCGTGTGCATCCAGCGAGCGGACTGTCGGCTCTGAGTGGCAGGGACTGCCGGGAGGGTCCCCAGAGTCCAGCTATTACAGAATAGCTGCTCCGCGACCAGAATGAGGGGCTGGCTGGTGGCTCGGGTTCCTCTCTCCACGGACAGTCACGGAGCTGATGGCAAGTGGCCTTGTATGTGGATTCCAAAGTCCCGACTCCATTGTGGAGCCAGTGTGATGGCACCGAGGGCTTTTAAGTCAGATTGTTTCTTGAGAAAGTGAACATGGAGGGAAGGAATTTAGTTTTAACTATTGTGTTTGAGGAGCCTGAGTGGGGAAGAGAAGGCTCTGGAACTCAGAGAAAGGTCAGGTCAGAGGTTGAGATTGGGGCCCGGTGGCGAGCTGGGTGTTGGTTGCAGGCTGCGGACGGGTAGAGGTGAGGCCACCAAAGGAGTCCGGGTCATGTGAGCCATTGTGGAGGGCAGGAGAGGAACCCACGGGAGGAAGGGGCACTTCGGGTGTTAGGAGGAGACCCCAAGAAGGAGGGAGGGGTCCTCAGTGTCAGGAGAGGAGGAGTGTCCAATGGGAGAACTGGGTGGGAGAGGTGTCTTAGCTCGGGCTGCTTCGACAAAGTATCGTAGGCTGGGTGGCCTGTGAACAAGAGACTGTTATTTCTCACGGCTCTGGATGCTGGGACGTCCAAGGTCAGGGTAAGAGCAGATTCCGTGTCTGGTGATAGCGCACTGCCTGGCTTTTACAGAGCCACCTTCTCAGCGCGTCTTCACAGTGCCCAGAGCAGAGAGGCCCGCTGTCTTCCGTCTCTTCTTATACGGGCACTAATGCCATCAGGAGGGCTCCCCTGTCCTGACCTAATCCCCTCCCAAAGGCCACGCCTTCTAACACCATCTTTTTGAGGATAGGGCTTCAACACATGAATTTTGTGGGGGTGAAAATATGCAGGGGATGTGTGTGGACTTTGGGTTCTGAGGCCGTGTGGATCCCGTCCCGCCACTTTGTACCTTTGGCTCTTGGGTGTTGCCCACCCTCGAGGAGGCTTCCATTGGATC